ATGCTTGGTAGGGTGGAGGGACAGCCCAGGAGAGGAAGGCTCTCTATGAGGTGGATTGATTCAGTGACTGGGATAATTGGAATGGGAGTGTCAGAGACGGTGCGATTGGCACAGGACTGAGCAGAGTTTAGGGTTGTTGTACATAGGGTCTCTATGAGTCGCAGGTGACTCAACGGCACACCACAACAACAACAACAACATGTATGTTTGATGCTGATTACTTTCTTTAAACTGTGTAACCATTCTCATCCTGTTTTCTGAGTTATTCTCCCGACTTAACATAAATTCACTGGATCCTAAGTTTCCCGTCAGATCTTTCAAATGACAGTTGTCATCTTGATTTCATCTACCTAAGACTTAAAAGAGCATAATTCTAAGAAAAACTTTTTTTCACTAGTTATTCTTAGCAATTGTTGTATTTAAGAAAAAATAAAACAAACATGTATTTAAAGATTATCTCAGGATAACAGCTTCAGAATTTCCTTCATTCTTCATGGCTCCAGGATGTCTGGAGTCCATGAAAATTTGAAATTCTGTTCCAAGTATTCCACCCATTTCATTGAGATATTTAAATAGAATCTTTGATCAGAGCATTAAGTTATGCTTGTTGGGTACCATCCTGTTCTTCAAGTCTCCTGGCAAAGAAAGCAGTTGTTCATTGAGTCAATTAGTCACACATTCTATATTTCCTCCTCTTCTACTCTCTTTCTTCCTTTGTAGTTCCAGACAAATAGAAACAATTGTTATGACTTAGAGGGCTGCCTCCAAGCTTTGCAAGACTCTAAGTAATAACTATTGAACTAAAAAGTAGGACAAAAGTATTAAGTATGTTGTTGTTGTTGTTATGTGCCATCGAGTTGCTTGCGACTCATAGTGATCCTGTGTACAAGAGCCCTAAACACTGCTCTATCCTGTGCCAACCTCACTGTCTCAAACACTCTTTCATTTCCACCACTCCACTCACGAATCGATCCATCTCATCGAAGGTCTTCCTCTCCTGCACTGCCCCGCCACTCTCCCAAACTCTCCCAAACATGATGTCCCTCTCCAAGGACTGGTCTCTCAAGGACTTGCAACGTGCTCAAAGTATGTCAGACAAAGCTTTAGAATCCTTGACTCCCAGGAGCATTCTGGCTTCACCCTCTCCAAGGCAAACCTGTTTGTTCTCCTAGCAGTCCTTGGTATATTCAAAACTCTTCTCCAGCACCACAGTTCAAAGGCATCAATTCTCTTTCTATCATCCCTATTCACTATCCAATTCTCCAAAGCATAGTTCGTAACTGCAAAGACTATAGCCTGGATCAGGTGTACCTTAATCTCCAGCCTGACGTCCTTGCTCTCCAGTACTCTAGAGAGGTCCCTCACAGTTGACTTTCCCAATGCAATTCATCTCTTTATTTCCTGGCTGCTGTTACTAAGAGTGTTGACTGTGGACCCAAGTAAACTAAAACTGTCAACTATCTCAATCTCTTCACCATCCATACTGATGCTGCCAATAGGCCCAGTGGTGAGAATCTTTGTTTTCTTTATGTTGAGCTTCAATCGATATTGAAGTCTGCAGTCCTTGACATTCTGCAGCAAGCGCTCCAAGTCCTCCTCAGTTTCAGCAAACAGGGTTGTGTCATCTGCATAATGCAAGTTGTTGATGATTCTTCCACCAATTCTGACCCCACATTCCTCCTCGTACAGCCCCGCATTTTGGATGATCTGTTCTGCATACAGATGGAAAAGGTATGGAGACAAAATATATCCCTGACTGACCCCTTTCTTGATTTTGAACCATGTAGTGTCTCCTTGCTCTATTCTGATGACTGCCTCTTGGTCCAAGTCCAGGTTTTGCATTAGCACAATCAAATGTTCTGGGATTCCCATTCTTCTCAGAGTCAGCCATAGCTTGTTGTGATCCACACAGTCAAAAGCCTTGCTATTATATCAATTAACTAATTAATATATATCTTGTGAAACCAGGACCTTAAAACTCTAAACCAAGAAGCAAAGTCCCATGAAGGTTTTGCTTATGCATAAACAAGGGCTATAAACCAATATACACCTTTCACCCAATAAGTAATGGGGGCTAGGGGTGAACTGTTAGTCTTTCACTTAGTCACTGAAAATTTTAACCACTGCCATCAAGGTCCCTTGTTATACTATTATGAAATAACAGTATTTGTATTGATAAAACCTAACTAAATGGCACAGAGTTTTATATTGAAGTCTCTAGTAAACACCTAAAATCCTCATTTATTTTGTTATTAATTGAAAGATATTTTTGTGAATTACATTTTTCACATATTCATCGCAAAATATAAAATTTTGTCATAAAAAATAAGCTAACATTTTCCCTGGATAGATGGAGAGAAAACAATATCTGTAAACAAATACACATAATTTCCTAAGCTAAACTTAAATGTATTATAATTCTTTCAAAGTATTGTTAAGATGCCCAGGTATAACTAAAATAAAGCTAATGGGTAAAAAACCATATGTTTATATTATTGTGATTTATGTTGTTGTTGTTGTTGTTGTTATGTGCCGTCGAATCACCTGCGACTCACAGCGACCCTATGTACAACATCCTTAAACTCTGCTATATCCTGTGCCAATCTCACTGCCTCTGACACACCCATCCCGATTACCCCAGTCACTGAATCAATCCACCTCATAGAGGGTCTTCCCCTTCTGCACCGTCCCTCCACCTTCCCAAGCATGATGTCCCTCTCTAAGGACCTCTCTCCCTCCTTAAAACATGTCCAAAGTATGTCAAATGAAGCCTCAGAATCCTTGTCTCCTGGTTTTGCCCTCTCCAGGATGAATCTGTTTGTTTTCTTGGCAGTCCATGGTACATTCCCTACTCTTCTCCAGCACCACTGCTCAATGGCATCAATTCTCCTTCTATCATCCTTAGTCATTGTCCAACTCTCTGATGCATAACAAGTGATTGCAAAGACCATGGCCTGTATCAGGCGCACCTTAGTCTCCAGAGTGACACCGTTGCTCTTCAGTACTTTGGAGAGGTCCCTAACAGCAGACTTTCCCATCGCAATACGTTTTTTGATTTCCTGGCTACTGGTGCCAAGAGTGTTGACTGTGGAGCCAAGCTGACTAAAGTTGTTAACAATCTCCATCTCCTTACCGTCCATCCTGATGCTGCTAATTGGTCCAGTGGTGAGAATCTTTGTCTTCTTAAATTATAAAATGCTTAATATTGTTATTTAGTACTGACTGGTATTCCTTTATTTAAATGTTGATAGGATTTAAGAAATAACAAATCAGTCATTATATGACATAAACTTAAAAATTTAATCTTACCTAGAAATACACTATTTCTCAATATTATAATTTTCAAGAATGTAATATTATTCATTAAGTTATGCAATAACAATAGAGTCTTTTCTTATCAGAACTAGTAGCTGAAAGAGATATGCTTTTATCTAGGAATTTTTTTTCTATTTAATTTTTTTTCCTTTTTATATTTGCTCTTGGGTCTTCTCTTGCAATTTTCTCATGTCAAATAAAATATAATCTTCATAATTGCAGTAAGGAGGAAAAGATAATTCTGTGGAGGGAAATCATTCAAGGCAGAAGGACTGAAATTACCAGTCTTAATTAGTTTTGTATTTCTATTGGGTAAAGGAATTGCTGTTTGGGAGCTGAGAGTATATGTTCAGCTCCTCAGGGAGCAATAATGCATTTGGCATGGGACAAGGAAAGAAGTAAAATAAATTATTGGTTTTCAGCTTGAATTGCTATATAGATTACAAGAAAATAAGAAAGAGTAATAAGGACTATTTGCTTGCTAATGATCATGAAATTACATTCAATCATAATTGTACGTGTAAAACTCACTTGGAAAAAGTGAGCTGGGATACTCCTAGACCTGGACACGCCATGGAGGTCTGATGCTTCAAAACGCACAAACTGGAGGTGATTTCTTGTCATCTCTTGCTTAATGTGCTTCATTCTAGAGGAGAGTGGAGGTAGGGTGGAAAATTGAGTGTTGTCCCTTGTGTGATCTGTAAAATAAAGAATGATTCTACGTCACTGGATCTTGCTGACTTGAAAAGCCAGAGAGGTTAGGGTAATGGGGAACAGTTGCTATCAATAGATTCAGCTTCATAGTGACCCCATTTGTATCAGAGGAAAAGGATAATTTGTAGAGCATTTAATGGCTTATTTTTCAGAAGTAGGTCACTGGGCCTATCTTTCTTTCCCAGGATCTCTGAGTAGACTCAAACCAGCAACCTTTAAGCTAGTGGCCAAGCGCGTGTACATTTTGACACTATGGGACTCCTAAAAAACAAAAACAAAAAAAACGGAACTCCTAAAAAACAAAAACAAAACAAAACAAAAAATGGAGGCAGTGAATTAGACATCATGGTTACTAATAAAAGCATCACATAGTCATTATGTCATTAACTTAGAGTTGGAGATTTTAACCATTCTTACATTTCTTTTACCTTTTATCCAAGAACTTAGTCAGTAAACAGCCTAAGAAATTATTACTTATGTTAGCTGGCAGTTAACACTGTTTGTTAGTGTTATGAGTATCTTAACAGTGATTATAATATTATGTGTGAAGACTTAAAGTTTTCTTATGGAAATTAAAATATATTGTAACTGAACAGCACTGACACTGAATAAATCCCTACATAGATTACTATAGCTGAAAAGGGGCCTTGGTCCTGAAATGCAGAATAGATCAGACTGAAGGTCAGTGGTTCAAATTCACCAGCCACTCAGTGGGAGATGGGTGGGAAGTTTCCTCACATAAAAATATACAGCTTTGGAAAGACAATAGAGTAGAAATTGATTCCTCTAAGTTTTATAATTGAAAAGACTTTTAGTTTATTTAATTGACTGGCAATGCCATAATTAAAAGTTCACATATTGAAGATAAATCTATTTTCTCATCTTTACTTATTTCCTGTGGGTTTTCTCTTATTATTATTTTTTATCAAAACGGACTTATTTCTTTCTAATGGTACCTGAATCTAAGATATCTGTATCAGTCAAATTTTAAATTAGTTTATAAAAGCAAGCAACAATGTTTTCAAGAACCAGAATGAGAGAAATAAAAAATCTAGACTACATATTCAAACATCAAATTGGAAAGAAAATGTTTTCAAGAAATAATGAAAAATATTCTAAAACTTTAGAGATAGAAAAGATCTTGGAGAAAAGTCATCTATTTTAACCAAATTATTAACTCGAGTCTCACACAAACAATGAAGAATTCTATGCCATACTTTCAGCCTATTGTCAGAAACTAATATAGACCTCTGCACTCCTGGCTAGAGGCTTATTACTATAAAATGAATGAATATTTCTAAAACATATGTAAGAATTTTATACAAAGTACAATTATTTAAGGGTTAAGTGTCTAAACTCTTAGGAAAGGCACCAAATTAGGTGGTTCAGCTCAAATACTAGAACCCATTGACCTCTCTTTCAGTCCAGAGTTGCCCCTGCAAATGTGTTATCCAGTCAAGCCTCAGCTTTCCCGTCAACATAATATTATCTGAAATACAGGATTGTTATTAGGATCAAGCAAGTTGGTTAACAATGTGAGGCAGGCAGTCAACACAGTTTGAATACTACTTAAACGCATAAAGTGAACACAATTACACTAGTCCTAGTAATTGGTAATGTGTTAATGTCTGTATCTGAATATTCATCAGTCATATCACTCTGATGCTGAGAAGCTCTAATTTTTAAATTATATCTAAGTATCCTTTTCCAGGATATAATAAAGCTTTTAAAATTAGCATAAAGATTGACAGTCAAAAACATAGATTAATTAGATTTTAAACACTTGAAACATGAAGAAAACAAATTACTAGTTCCACCTATCCAAATATTGGAGATAATGTCCTGCCGTTGATACATTCGGCTACCCTCAGGGTCCCGAGGCTTTATAGCAACAATTAAACTGTAGCAATTATAATGATTCATACTAAATTAGCACTTGCTGTATTTCCAACTGAAGATGAATGAAAAACAAAACCAAATCCACAACTATGAAGTACATCCTTATAGCAACTTTTTATAGGAGAGAACAGAACTAACTCACAGGGTTCCCAAAGCTGTCAATCATTATGGAAGCAGACTGCCTCATCTTTCTACTGGGGAGCAGCTTGTGGGTGTGAGCTGATGACCTTGGGTCTGAGAGCTTTAACTACTACACAGCCAGAACTCTCCTTTCAAAGTGAGTAAATTAACTGCCAACAAACTTAATCTGACTCATGGGGTTGCTGAGCTGTAAATCTCAACTAGAGGAGGCTGCTCATTTTTCTTCCATGGAGTAGCTCATAGACTTGAGTAGCTAAAAACCTAAAATATTTTGTTTAACATTTTGGAATGTTAACATTGGAATCGTATTTTGGAACATGCTGTGCACTGCTCTGTTGTTGTTATTGTTGTTGTGTACTGTAGAGTTAGAACTGACCCAGAGCTGACCCTCTGGTGGGTTTTCAGAGGCAGTTACAGCATGGGAAGAGATTGTCCATCTTTCTCCCACAGAGTGGCTGATGGTCTCAAACCGTATGTCTTTGGGATTGCAGTGCAGTTTCTCACTAGTAGGCCACACAGCCCTACTAGAACATCTTACTCAAGACAAATGTTGTTATGTGCCATTGAATTGAGTATAACTTAAAGCAACCCTATGAACAACAGATCTGAACTCTGTCTTCTCTTGTACTGTCCTCATTATCTCTGATATATTTGAGCCCTTTCCTGGTGTCACTGTGTCAATGAATGTCGTTGAGGGTCTTTCTTCCACTGACCCTCCACCTTCTCAAGAATGATTTCCCTTTCTAAGGAAAGCCTTTCCTAACATGTCCAAAGCATGTGACAAAGCTTCACCATGCTTGCCTCTTGTTGTACTTTCTCCAAGATGTATTTATTTGTCCTCTTTCCAGTCCATGGAATATTCTCCTGGAATAGTCAGTACTCTTCTCCAGCACCAAACCTCAAAGGCAAAAATTCTTTGTCATCCATATTCATTGTCCGACTCTCAGAGGAATAGCAATTGATTGAATCAGGCATAGTCTGACCTCATTGCACCTTATGCACCTTACCACTTTGTAGAGGTCTCTAACAGCTGAATTTCTCATTGCAACATGTCTACTGCTACTGGCAAGGGTGTTGAATGTGAAAATGGATTTTAAAATATTATCCTTTTCAGATAATCAATACTGTAAACACACTAAGCAATTATATCTAAGCTATACACGTATTAGGAACATGAAAAATGCAAGCATCTTATTGATTATGCAATAAGAGGATGATAGGTAATATTAGTAATTCTTTTGCTTATCTGCATTTTCTAAATCACCTGTAATAAATATTTAATATTTAGTATAGTAAAAATATCCATCCACATCCATCCTCTGGAGATTTTTCTTTTTTCATTATTATACACTATTTACACAGGACAGATATCTAGGAAGCAGTCAGTAAAAGCCCCATATATAAACCATAATGAATGGGAACGATCATATGAAACACGGTATGGATGAAGGATAGTAAGCAAATCAATATAAAATAAAAATTGTAAAGAAAAAGTCCTATGATCTCAGGGCTTATATTCTATTGAATAGATGAATGAAAGATGGTAAGCATGGAATCAAATACAGGGATGTGTTCATTTCACATGGCAGGCAGTGCCGAAAAAAAGAAAAGATCATCACCTGGATTATTCTATGAAATCTGGCATTGCAATCCCCGATTTACTTTCAAATCACCACATTACACTATGATCAGTGAATCCATCATTCTAGTTTCATTTTCTTCAGAGTCCTTATCTCCACTTCCCATGTTGTATAAGTGCATGCTTTCTGTCTGCCACCCCTCAGCTGGGCTCAGCTTCAGCAGAGCAGGGGCTTAACTTTACTTGTAGCAGTATCCCCGGTACCTGTAGCACTGCAGGTGTATCATGTGGTGATGTACCATCAGGTTCACTATGACTGGTAGGATCCTATGAATAATCTTGCCCTATCCTGTGCCATCTTCACAATCTCTGACATGTTCCAGTGCATTTTACAGTGACAGTACCAATCCTTCTGGTTGAGAGTCTGCTACTCTTTCTCTGACCCTTCATCTCTCCCAGCACGATACTCTCACTCCTGACAGTATGATCTAAGTAAGTGAGATGATGTTTCACCATTCTTGCCTCCAAAGAGCACTCTGATTGTAATTTCTCCATGACAGATGTTTTGGTTGTTCTTTTAGCACACCACAGGATATTAAGTACTCTTATCCAACACCACAACTTAAAAAATTAATTCTTCTTTTGTCATTCTTACTGTTTAATGTTCAGATATACAAGAAGCAATTGAAATAGCCACCCAATAAAAAGTGTGTGAATGACTGAATACATCCTGTATGATTTGACTTTCTCTGACATACAAGGCCCAAACCCACTGCCATTAATTTTATTCCAATTAACAAGTATAATCAAATATTGGCATCAGATATTTTGGTACATAGCTGTGTCAATATTTCATTTGAAAATATGATTCTTTCGCTAAATGTGAGAACCCTATCTAATCTAATTTCATTTTTGACATGCCAACTAATCTTGCTGCATCATTGTCTGAATTTCTTTTCTTCAAATAAATCATACTTGTTAGTTACAATTAAACCTTATGGTCAGCCCGTCCCAGTTGCACATGATAAATAGCAGACAGATAATTGCCAGTTCAGGGGCTCATTTGTTTTTCTTACGGTGCGGTTCCTGAGAGATGCTCTGCTTTCCAATCCCCTCAGATGACTTATAAACTAAAACAATGTGCTCTTACAAAGAAAGTTTTACTACACTGATGCTTAGGGGTAAAAACAGACTTAAAACTTCATAGTGACTAAAAAAACCTGGGGAAATGTCCATGTTAAGTGACAATGAGAAAATGTTTTAGTTACAGAGAACAAGCCACGGTTATATATAAAAAGCAGATTTAAGTAGGCAATTGGGCTTTCAGAACTAAGAGTTTGAAAAGGGAAACATGCAATTGACACTCCACCATGTAATTCACACGGTGTAATTCAGCTTATCACACACCTGGAAGGGTCCCACACACTCCTTTCCAGGGAGCTTGAGTAGGCTTCTGGGAGGAATTGCTGTTGGTGGATGTGACTCCCCAACCCCACTCTCTGGCCACATCAAGTTAGTCTAAGCAGTGTTAAAAAGCCCAGGTGGCAAAATAACCATGTTCAATTATTTCCCACTCACGAGGCCACCAAAGCTCCCTATTTGAGATTAGAGTTGAAATGATATGCTCAAATCAAATTGTCAGACAATGCTGTTGTGATTAATAGGCTTTTTATTGGTTAATTTTCTCAAGCAGATAGTCAAGCCTTTCCCTATTCTGTCTTATCTGAATGAAACCCTTCCATCATAATACCTTGCTGGTATTATGGCAACCTAGTGGTGGTTTAGGGCTCATAAAGAACTCATTTCACTATTGAGTAACAGAGAAAATGTATGAACTAACCAAGCTGATTCAGTAATTAAATGTTCAATAGTAGATTGATATTTAGCAACCAGTATCGAAACTACCCTTGGATGGGACATCTATCCTCTAGGTGACAAATTGACAATTTTTTTTTCTATGTTGTGTTGTTGAGTTGACTCCTATGTATAACAGCTCTGAACTCTGCTCTATCCTGAGCCAATTGCATCATCTCTGACACATCTACCCCCATTATCCCAGTCATAGAATCAATCCATCTCATTCAGGATCTTCCTTTCTCACACTATCCTTCCACCCACCCAAGCATGATGACCCTCTCTAAGGACTGGTCCCTCTTTGCAACATGGCCAAAATAGGTCAGATGGAGCTTCAAAATCCTTGGCAACAAGGAGCCATGTGGTTTCACCCTCTCCAGAACAAGCCCGTTTGTTCTCTTAGCAGTACATTGTACATTCAATACACCGCTACTCAAAGGCATTGATTCGTCTTCTATTATCCTTAGTTATTGCACCGTTTTCTCATGCATAGCAAGTAATTGCAAAGACCTTGGCCTATATCAGGTGCACCTTAGTCTCTAGACTGATATCATTGCTCTTCCATACTCTGGAGAGGTCCTACCTTATGAACTAGATGGTCTCTGTCACAACTTCTCAACTCTACCATTGTAGCATGAAAGTAGACATAGACAATAAAAAATATACATTCCCAAATATAGTTCAGCAGATCTAGATTTGGTCCATGGGCTGTAGTTTGCCAATCCCTGTGTTTGTTTCTCACAATAGCATCACTCCCTGTTTTCTTATACCCAGGCCATCTCACTCATTATATTATCTTCTTGGCCTCTATGGAATCAAATGAAGTCCACTGATACTGAGTTGGCTCTGATTTACTGCAACTCTATAGACAGAACACAGAGAGTATTGCTGGATTAGTGTTTAAGGAGCTATGCTTCCAACTCAAAGGCAGATGGTTCAAATCCCATGTTATTTGCAACCTCTGAAAAAGTAGTCAATGATCAGCTCTGACTTGGTTCTGATTCAAAGCTATATGCTAGCAATATAGACAGAGCGGAACTGCCCCATAGGGTTTCCATGGCTGTAAATTTTAGGGATGTACACTGCCACACCTTTCCCCCATCGAGTGGCACATGGGTCAACAGCATAGAACTTTAGCCACTGCACTACCAACCCACCTCTCCTAATCCCCCCATAAAAACCAAAACAAAACACTGTCATCAAGATCAAGTTGACTCTAAAAAACAATATATTTTTTTTCTATTAAGATCAAGTTATACCAAACACAAGCCATGCATTTTCAATCACCTTACATCCATTGGAAAGAGCTGAACACTAGATTAGGAATTATTTATGCATTTGAGTTATGATACTGTGAAAAATATTGACTATACCAAACACTGGGAGCACTGGTGGCCAAGTGGCAAGAAGCTGTGCTGCAATCCTGAAGGCACACAATTTGAATCCACCAGCTCCACCATGGGAGAAGGATGGGCAATCTCCCACGCAATCTTCTGCCTCTGAAAACTCACTGAAGGGTCAGCTATGGATTGGTGCTGACTCAAAGGAACACAACAACAACAACAAGATGCCATACACTGCCAGAAGATTGATTAGATCTGCCTTGAAGTGCAGCCAGACCCTTTGAAGTAGGGATAGTGAGACTACATCTTGTGTACTTTGGATGTATTATCAGGTCGAACCGGTCACGCAGAAGGACATCTTGGTGGTAAAGTTTAAGGTAAGTAAAAGGAGAGGAAGATCCTCAAAAAGATGGATTGAAATGGAGGCCATAACAGTAGTCTCAAACGCAGCAATAACTGTGAGGATGATACAGGACCAAGTAGTGTTTCATTAACTGAATTCAAGGAGCTTAACTTATTCAAGAATACCTAACAACAAGAAGAGCTGACAGCTTGCTGTACTTCAACAGATAAGCAGTTCATTGTCTTTGCTTATTTTCTCATCATAATCCCTGTCAAAATGAAATTTTTGGTTTTCTTAGAATCTTTCCTGGAGTTCAAGTTGCAATGCAATGTTTGTACTAATTGTAATAAAGAATTGCCTTAAGTGGGGTGGGGGTGGGGTAGGGGGGAGTGGGGTGTAGAGGGGGAGATCAAGTTAATTCTAACTCATAGTGAATGACCTTGTAGGACTGATAAGAATTTCCCAAAGCAATACATTCTTTAGGGAAGCTGACTGCCAACTACATCTTTCTCCCATGGGATTGAATTACCAACATTTTGGTGGTTGTTTTTATGTTCTGTTATTGAGTCTGAACCAACTCACAACTGACCCTCCAGTGGGCTTCCAGAGAGTGAAAACTACACAGTAAGAGGTTATATACATCATTACCTGACAGATGACCTGGTGAATTTGAACTATGTGCATTTGGATGCAACTCCTTATCATGACTACCAGATCTGTTGTTATGTGCCTTCCAGCTGACTACAACCTATAAGAATCCCTATAAACAATGGCTCTGAACCATACTGTATCCAGAGCCAACCAGATCCAGCAGTCAAATTATTTAACTACTGTGCCTTCAGGGCTCCTCTCCCTAATCCCAGAAACCTGTTAATATGGTAAATTACATGCCCAAAGGGACTTTCCAAATGTAATTAAGGTTTTGAAATTCAAACGAATTAAAGGAAATTGTGCAGGTGAGCCTTAAAAGCAGAAAATTCACCCTTCTTGGAGGCAGAAGAAGGAGCCCACTTGGCAAAGCAGGTTATGTCTTGAGGTCTAACCAAAAGGCCACCCCTTGGGAGAAAGGTGTAGCAGCCTGTTCCCATTAAGATTGCAGCCTTCAAAACTCAGATGTAATTCAAAGGCAATGGGGTTTAGTTTTGTGTTGTTTTGTTTTGTTTTGTTATAAGCAGGAATGAAATACAGCAGAAGAATTCAGGAAGATTCCAAATTTGAGAAAGATCCCAGCCTTTCTGGCTCTGACATAAAGTCCTGAAGAGAACCATCTGGAAGTTAAAGGTAACTTTAGTTGACAAAGAACAGGGAAATAGGAATCGAAATCTTACAAGCAAAGGAGCCAGTTTGGAAGCTGATTGCCACCTGGAGTCTCCAGATAAGAGCCCTGCCAGCCAATATTTTTTTTTAGCTGTGTTAAACCTCAAGCAGAGAAACCAGCCACATCAACCTGGACTTCTGACATACAGAGCTTTGAAATCATAAGCGTGTATTGTTTTAAGCACTAAATGTTTGGTATTTGTTGAAGCAGCCACAGGAAACTGATAAAAATGGAGCCCTAACAGCATTTGCTTCCCACCTTCTACTTACTTTATATTATTGTGTTCTGTTGAGTCAATTCTGACTCATAGTAACATTATAGGACAGAATAGAATGCTTCATAGGGTTTTCTAGGCTGTACACCTTTATGGGTGCCAATCTGTTCTGTTTCTCTCAAGGTGATAGTTTTAGAACTGCCATCTATCTGGTTAGTAGTCAAGCTCTTAACCACTTAATATCGCCAGGGTTCTTTGATCATTGCTACATATCTATCTGTCCAAAACATGTTTGTTCTGCTCTTTCATTGTGGAGTTTATAAACCAATAATTGTCTAACTAGCTTCCACTCTTTATCAAAGAAAATTATCACTACCAACAATCCAAGAACTTAAAATAACACTAATTTCATTTTTAGAAAAGACATGGGGAACTACACTCTTCAACCTCTGTTTTCCAGATGAACAGCCTAATGGGTAAAGAATTATGGACACTTTGTAAATAATAGATAAAAGGATTCTTTTAAGTATTGTGACTCCCAGCTCAGCATTTCTCACTTTATTATCTCTTGATAAGCAATTTTTGTTTAATGACTAGAACCAAACACCAGTCAAATTCCTTACCATCTTTACCAGGATGGCTAGAATTCAGGTTAAATTCACTGTCAGGAGGGCTGACTGTTGTTTTAAGAAGTGATGGTTTTATCACTATAATCTGCTCCTTGGAATTTCTGTCATCATGAGGCTGATCAGACTCAGCAGAGCCAGGTCCCTGGGCTGATTTGCTTGCATTTCCCAGTTTGTTACACATCATTTGTTTGCTTATTCTCTCTGTAGTAAGGAAGAGAAAAGAATTGTTAACGCCGGTTACCATTGTCTCAACAGTCTTTTATCATGATATACAAAACAATACTCCAGAAAAAGTGAATGGGAGTGGTCTACATTGCTGCTGTTGTTGTTATGTACCATCAAGTTGTCTGGGACTCATAAAAAGCCTATGTACATTAACTCTTAACCCTCCCTATCCTGAGCCAATCTCATCATCTCCAACAGACCTAATCCCATTTCTCCAGAAATTGAGATAGATTGAGACAGTCTACTTTTACCTGTGGTATTATCCACAGAGAATTTACAATGGGCAAGTTTACTACCCTAAGAAGCTGCCCTATAGTCACACAGGCACACAAATTGAATCCACCAACAGTTCTAAAAGAGGATGGACAATATCCTCCCATGCAATTTGCTCTGAAATTATGCCAGAGGGTCAGCTGTGAGGTCAGTTCTAACTTGATGGCACAAAACAACAATCTCAATATACCAGCATTTTTAAGATTGACTCCATTGTCCAAATGAACACCTAGTTTTAGCACTGTCTCTCTATCTACTGGAATCTAGTTAAAACTCCATAAAGCAGTGGGGAGACTTGTTCCTCACCTTTATGATCCTCTTTCAAAGTTTCAGTAAAGATCTTGAAATAGTAAACTAGAGATCATAGTCGGAATAATCCTCAACCCCTCCTGGCATTCTGCTATTTAGTCTAGAACAATATACAGTGCTAACTTCTGTTTGCCGACCTTAGCAGATGATAAAATTCAGGTTTCTATAGAAACTAGGACCAATAGCAAATCAGCCCAAGCCAATTAGACTGTCAAAGCATGCTCAAAAACTTTGCTTGTTAGAAGACACATGCTGAGCTGAGATTTAAACTCAGGTACTTGACCCATTGGACATGCACCCAATTATCATAAATTCTCCTCTTTGGGTCATATCTAAAATCTTACCTCCTTCCATAAGTGAACATAATCGTATTTTCTGCAAATAGGCTAGGCCCTGAAACCCATCTCCTCTCATTCTTTGAACATGTTGCTATTCCTTGGAAAAGGATATCAGGCTAGAAAAAGTGGAAGGTCATATAAAGAGAAGACTCAACGAGATTAATTGATACAGTGACTGCAGCAATGGGCTCAGGAATATTGGAGATGATAAGGGTGGTGCAGATTAGGACAGGGTTCAGAGCTATGGGGTCTCAAGTTGTACTGGATCCAACAGCACATAACAGCAGCTCATGAATGAACATGATGCTCTTTTTCCACTCCAGAGTTTTAAAAAATCTGCCCTGCTCTTAGTTTGGAGAGACATTGAACACGTAGCAAAAATGCCCCCACATCTTCTTTGCAAAGGTTCTCTCCGTCTCTCTCTCTCTCTCTCTCATTAAACATAGAATTTTCATAAAATCCTGGTTTCTCATTTTGTAACTCTTATGACTGAAAGAACCTGCAATTTAGAAAGCAGTTATCCTGAAACAATCTTTGTACTCATGCTCAGATTAGAAATGTAATCCTCTTCCTATTGCTTCTTATTCCTGATTTCTCTTCTATTTTATTAATATCATCCTTGTCCAGCTCCTTTAAGAATAGGCTCCAATGGCAACTGGCAGTGCTAATATTATATTCCCCACCTTTTATCCCGTACATGTAGGGGAAAAAAGTGTAAAGAAAAACCAAATAGTTTGTCATTTTCAAGGAATTATGGTAGCTAAGATACCTTCTGAGACAGATAGATCCATTTCCCCCACTTCAGTTGAAGAAATGAATGGTTTATTGACCTTCTTTCTTGTCCTTCTTAATTTATTCATCCTGTAAGCTTCAGTCTCATTATCTTCATTTCTTGTTGTGTCCTAAAATAATTAACAAACATAAAACCAAGCAACCAACCATGCATGTGACTAGATTCGAATGCCAGGAAAGCATGTCAATAGGACAGCCAAATTTTAAAATGAGCATAGGAAGTGGCTATAACGAGATAAACATTCTCATTATAGAGAATGATATAAAGAAACATATCTACATCCACTTGAATAACTCAAGATTAAAAGCTCAACATTCGGCTGACAGGTCAGATTTTTCTGTATTTCCTTTGAAATGTACACCTAAAATATCATTTTTAAAAGTAAGATTTTTATTCAACTAGCCAAGATTTTTAATCCTTTTTTTTCATTCTAGATATATTATTTATCTCAGTAATCCTAAAAAAAAGTCTATCTCAAGCTAAGAAATCCTCTTCTCATGATTTTTACCTTTTTTGTGTTTTAGGATCTCTAACCTTATGATCAGAAGCATAAGTAACCCCAAAATTATATTCTCTTCTTTGCTTCATATCAATAATTTTTTAAAAATGTATATCTGTGCTCTTGTGTGAAATGTTATATACAAAGATTTTTATAGGTTGGGAAATCTAGACATTCATTTTAAGTCAAAATAACATAACTTCTACAATAAACCTATCAACCTCTATAGGAATGTAGTCCTGTCAGAGGCTGTTCCCTGCAGGAAGCTGTACAGTGAGACAGGGCCAGGACAGGGTCAGATGTCTCAGCACTAGCAGCTGCAGAATGTCCTCTGCAATCCCAGGACACAAAGGCTGACATTGGCTTGTTAAGGTTTTTTTTGCAAACCCTTCATGATGGCTTGATGGATGAGTAAAAGTGAAAGGTCAGGGCAAAGTTTATATTTAAAATGCTTTTACATTTGTCAGTTCTAAAATATTGCTATTGTCTTTTTCAGTTTTGGAGAGATTTCACATCTGGGGACAGGTTGAATAAATACATATCCAATAACTTTCCAGGGAACACTGTGCTAATTACCTCTGAAAACTAAAAGAGGAAAAGAGAGTAAGTTTTCCTTTTAATATATTTATATGTAATTATATAATGTTATAATATTAACAAATGCATATTTCAAAGAATAAAGTATTTCATAATTGTCATGAATTGTCTCCCTAAATTTATATGTCAGTTTAAACTTACTGTGATTCTTACTGCTTTGGCAGTAATGTAATGATAAAATCCTCCTCCATTATATGTTCTTTATCTTATTAGCCTGTCAGTTATAAAGAGATTATGGTAGAATGATACACGATTAATCAGATTACAAATCTGACCCCATATAAGGGAAGTTTCCCTGGGACATTATATACCACTCTTTATCTTACAAGAGATAAAAGGAGAAAGTAAAAAATAGAGATGATTCACTTAACATCAAGAAAGGAAAGCTAGGAGGAAAGGGACTTCTTTGGACCTATGTCACTGTACCAAAAAACTCCTTGACTCAGGGTAAGATAGATGAAAAGGATCTTTCCCTAGAGTCAGCAGAAATAGAAATCTCTCTGATGTATCTGAACTCTGAGAGAATAAATTTGGTCATTAAATTGCTTAGGAAGTTATAAATATGACCAGTTATCTAAATATATATTAAAAAATGACCAACCTAACATTTGTCTTAGTTTTATACATATTATTGTGGGGTTGGTTTTTTTTTTTAGGTGCCATCTCATTGGCTTTGAGGAGTTCTGGTAGCTTAGTAGTAAAAAGTTGCACTGCCAACTCAAAGGCACGTGGTTCAGAACTATCTGCTGCTTTGAGAAAGAAAGGTGGGCAATCTCCTTGTGTGTTAGTCACAGCCTCCTCAAACCTGCTGGTGGGTCAATAATGAGTCCATTTCAAATCCACAACAAATGATAGGAGCAACAACAGTTGGCTATCACTCATAGCAACCCTGTGAAAAACTAATAGAAACTTGGCCCTATCTTGCTCCATCCTCACAATGTCCACCATGCTTAAGACCGTTGCCATCACCCTGTCAATACACGTTATTAAGGATTTTTCTCTGTTTTACTGACCCTCAACTTTTCCAAGCATTATTTTATTTTTCCAAGGTCTAGGTGTTGGATAATAGAACTCAATATCCATGAACTGCCAAACGAATGAACAGGTATGTCTTCAGAGAGGTGTAGCCTGAACACTTGATTGTGCAACGCAAAACCTATACTTGAATCAGGAAGCAGTTCTCAGAACAGAGCAGAGAAACACTCCATGGTTCAAAATCAGGAAAGGAGTGCATCAGGGATGCATCCTGTCTCCACACCTTTTCAATCTATATGCAGAACAGATCATTTAGGAAGCAGGGCTTTATAAAGAGGAATGTAGCATCAGGATTTGAAGAAGACTCATCAACAACCTACGTTATGCAGATGACACACCTTGCTTGCTCAAACTGAAGAGGATCTGAAGTGCTTGTTGCAGAAGGTCAAGAAACCTAGTCTTCAATAGGGATTGAAGTTCAATATAAAGAAGAGAAAGACTCTCACCACTGAGCTGAATGGCAGCTCCAGGATAGAGGGAGAGGATATCGAGGTTGTTAACAATTACAGTTTAAGTACTTTTATCACCAGCAGTCGGGAAATCCAAAGATGAATTGCATTGGCAAAATCTGCTGTTAGCGACCTCTCCAGAGTATTGAAAAACAACAGTGTCAGTCTAATCCAGGCCATGGTTTTCATGATTACTTGCTATGCATCAGAGAGCTGGACAATCACTAAGGAAGAATGGATCCCTTTGAACTCTGGTGCTGGAGAAGAATCTTGAACAAACAATGGACTGCCAAGAAAACAAATAGGTCTGTCTTGGAGAGAGTTAAACCAAGTCTCTCCTTGGAGGCTAGGATTTTGAAGCTCTGTTTCATATACTTTGGGCTCATGGCCAGGAGAGACTAGTCCTTGGAGAAGGGCATCACGCTCAGAAGGGTGGAAGGACAGTGCAAGAGGGGAAGACCCTGGATGAGATGGATTGAAACAGTAACTGGGGCAATGGGAGTTGGTGTGTCAGGATTAGTGAGACTCGCTCAGGACAAGGCATGTTCAGAGCTGTTGTATATAGGGTCGCTATGGATCACAGGTGACTCAATTGCATATAGCAACAACATATGTTAAAATATATGTGTTTAATGAGTTGGAAATATAAACACTAATGTCCCTTCTAGCTTCAAAATTTAAGCCAAAAGAAAGCTACATTTGTATAAACAGTTGAATGTCAACATGGTAAAGTTGAGTACTTTTATATTGGGTATATTTTCTTGGTATAATCCTCAAGGTATTAGAATATTTGTTTACAAATGAGTAAAGTGAAACCCAGAATAGCTTGTCCAAGGCCACAAAACTGTAATCAGAAGATGTAGTTTACTTAATTCTTCATATTTCCAAAACAACACTGCTTCCTAAAAATCAGAGGCCCAAGCCCTTAGAAAAGTTCATTTATATAGTGTTTGCCCTCCTTCATATAAACCATACCAGGCAGGGAAGTTTCCTTAGTATATAACAAAGGCAACTCACCTAAATCTAACCAGATATTTTCACAAACAAAAACTCAAGAACTAAGTTTAGTATGTACTTCTGAGTTCAAAGTAGAAACTTCTTTTTTTTTTTTTAACACATAATGGATTTAGTTCTGTTTTCATTTTGTGGGATTTTTAAAATTTTTTCTTTAGTTCTGTTTTTATTTTGTTTATTGACCCAAACTTGGCTATAAATTAATATCAGAGTATAGACAAAGTTATAATAGTTAAGATAAAATTATTTGATTCTTGATTTATACACAACCAATAGAGTAATTGTGTGCTCTTTTATCTTGCATGCTCTTTAGTCACAGTAAGAGTATTTCTGTAAAATCTGCATGTTCAAATGTTCTGTGACAGTTCTGTGTGAGAAAAATGGGCAACCTTCTCCTATATGATTTACATCCTCCTGAAAACCCACTGTCAGGTCCATTATGAGTCAGTTCTTACTACAGAGAAGCGAGTTAAACATGTTTTTGTTTTTTAACCAAGATCTTGAGATTTTGTTCTCTTTACCTTTCTAAGAAGCAAGTACTTTAGTACCCTTGATAATCTCATCTGAGACTCTAATATAACCATCAATAGACATAGCAAGTATCTTTTTAACAATATTTATTGTTATTTGAGTCAAGATTAACAAACTAATTAATTTTTATTTAACCAATCAACTACATTTGTGTAAACATTAATTTACAGTCATAGTGTAATTGCATTTATTCTATATCCTCAATATAATTTTGATTTCTATGAATCCTTCTCTACTTCTCTGTTTATTTCCTTTCTTTAGAGACACTTTGCTGATCATCCCTTTATTATATGTTACCTTTTCCTTCACCCATCTTTTATATGTCTATTATCTATTTAGTAATTTTACTCCCCTTTCTATCCTGTTAACTATCCAATATGATTATTTCTGTGTATAAACCAGTTTTTAGATTTTTATAACAATGATTTTATATAATATTTGTCCTTTTGTGCCAGACTTGTTTGACTCAGCATGATATCCTTCAGATTCATTCATGTTATGCAGTGTTTATGGGAAAGTATTATTGTCTCCTTTGCATAACAATCTATAGTGACAATGTACCTTGGTTTTATCCATTCTTGGACATTTGAGTTGTTTCTATCCCTTTACGCTTGTAAATTAATGTTGTAGTAAACGCGAGTATGCTTACATCTGTTTGTGTCACAGCTTTTATTTCTTCAGGATATATACCTAGTAGTGGGATTGCTGGATCAAATAAAGAGAAGTTGAGAGAAAACTTTAAAAAGCCCTTGTCAGGAGCCACTTATCACTTATCAACCATTTCAGCAGTATTACACCACTTATTAAGCATCTGACAATACCGTTTGGTTCCAGATGACTAATCTTTTTGATTATAAAATTCAAACGAACACAGATCTTGACTCTGCTCAGGCTGCTGTGGAACGCATAAGGCTTCCGAGGCTCTTCTCATCATCGAAGCATCTGTTGCCTCATGCTTTTGTGTATTGTGTATTTCTGTCTTCAAAAATGCCACTCTGCTCCTGCACTCTTTAAAGGAGGAGGTTATCAATCTTTCTCCCAAAGAGTGGCTAGTGGATTCACACTAGTGACATTTTCATTACAGCCAGATATTTTAGGCACTGTGTCCCCAAAGCTTGTTGGCTGACCTACAATAAGAGTTCATAATACAGCATATCATTTCTATGACTTTTCTGCACATTAACTTTGACTTTCACCAGATGGACAGGTGGTTGTTGTCTTTAGGTGTCAAGTATGATTCATAGCAACCCTATGAACAAACAGATGTAAACACTGCCCTATCCTGTGTCATCCTTATCTTCCCTGACAGACTAGAGACCATTGCTGAAGTCACTGTCAATACATCTCACTGAGTTCTTCCACTCCTTTTCTCACCCTTTCCAAGCATGACGTCCCTTTCCAAGGAGTAGCCTCATTTAGCTACATGTCTAGTGTATGAGATGAAATGTCATCATTCTTGCTTCCAGGGAGCACCCTAACTGCACTTTCTCCAAGATATATTTATCTGTTCTTTTAACTCTCCATGGAATATTCGGTACTCTTTTCCAACACCACAACTCAAAAGCATTAACTCTTCTTTTAACATCCTTACTCAGCATCCATTTCTCTGATGCATAGCAGGTGATTGAGAAGAACATGGCATGGATCAGACATATTTTAGTCTTCAAACATTATTGCTCTTCGGTATTTTGGAGAGATCTTGACAGCAGACTTTCCTAATGCTGTATGTCTACTGATTTCCTGACTGGTATCAAAAGTGATGGCTGTTAATCCAAGCAAGACTGGTATCAAAAGTGATGATTATTGATCCAAGCAAGATTAAGTCATTTCTCCATCATTAAATCAAGCTTTTCTCCATCTTTCTCCATGTTGACTGTTGGTTCTGTGGAGAGGACCTTTGTTTCCTTGATATTGAGGTATAATCCATACAAAAGGCTATATAGTTCTTGATAATACCTGTGGAAAGAATCATTGGAGAATGGCAATATCAGCAGTCAAAACTAGATCCCTGCCAACTGTGGAAAGACAATTACTCATGTGAAAGTGTACACTGAAACTGAAGAAAATGAAATGTAGGCCACTGGACCAAAATATGACCTTGAGTCTATTATACTTGAATTCAAGAATCATCTCAAGTATAGGTTTGAACAACAATGATCAAAGACCAGAGGAACTGTGGGAGGACATCAAAGATATCATCCATGAAGAGAGCAAAAGGTATTACAAAGACGAGGGGGAGAGAAAATCAAAATGGCTGTCAGAAGAGACTGTGAAGATTATATTTGGGCATTGAGAAGCCAAAACAAAAGGAAGGCACTCAGAAGTAAAAGAGCTGGACAGAAGATTTCAACGAAGACAGAGCAAAACATTATTATGAAATGTACAAAGAGATGGAGTTGGAAAACAAAAAGGTAAGAACTCACTCAGCATTTCTCAAACTGAAATAACTGAAAAACAATTTCAAGCATTGAGTTCCAGCACTGAGAGATGATATGGGCATAGCCTTGAATGATCCAGGAAGCATTAAAAGAAGATGGAAGGAATACACAGAAATGCGGTATTAAAAAGAAGTAGTTGACACCGAAAAATTTCAAGAAGTGCCAACAGAAGATGCCATTAAAGCAGCATGTTGTTGTTGTTGTTGTTGTTGTTATGTGCCATCGAGTCGCTTGTGACTCATAGCGACCCTATGTAAAACAGCCCTAAACTCTGCTCTGTCCTGTGCCAATTGCACTGAAAGCAGCATTATAGGTACTGGCAAAATACCAATTGAATACCAATTGACATGTTTCAACTAACAGATGCAGCCCTGGATGTGCTCATCAGTCTAGGTAAGGAAATTTGGAAACAGCTACCTGGCCAGCTTACAGTAAAAGATCATTATTTGTCCACATTCCAAATAAAGGTGATAACAGAATGTGGAATTTACAGAACAGTATCGTTAATATCACAAACACACACACAAAATGTATTGCTGAGGATCATGTAACAGTGGCTAGAACAGTGAATTGACAGTAAACTGCCAGGCCCTCAAGTGGGTTTAGAAGAGATCCCAGCACCAAGAATATGCCTGTAGTTGGTCAATGGACCATGGCTGAAAGCATACAATATCAGAAGAATATCTATTTGTGTTGTATTAACTATGCAAAGGCATTTTGAAAGTGTGAATCCTAAAAAATTAGACTAAATTGAGAAGAATAGGAATTCAAATCATTTAAATGGGTTTATGAGAAATCTATACCTAGAACAAGTAGCCGTTGGCTGAGCAGAGTAAGACAACACTGCATGGTTTAAAATCAGGAAGGGTGTGTGTGTCAGGGATTTATTTTTTCTCCACACCTCTTCAATCTGTATGTAAGCAAATAATTCATGAAGGCAGACTATGAA